AGAGGACAGAGGGGAGAGGCTGGAGCTGTCACCCTGTCCCTTGCAAAGGAATAAAACACATCCCCAAGGGCAGAGCACCCTCCCTCCTCCCTCCTCAGCATCCCTGGGTGCTTCTCCAGCCCAGTCCCAAAGCAGCCCTCCAAAATTCCATGTTTCTCTCAGATCGCCGTGGCCAGGCAGGGTGAGAGCACGGTAGCGCTTTGCCATCAAGGAAACCGCAAGAACAAGCAGAGATGTTATCTCTGACATCTGGCTCCCATCAGGGAGCTCTGTCTGCCTTCCTCCATGGACCCAGGATGGCCCTGGGCTGCTTTTTGTTTCAGGACTCCTCAGCCACAGCAAAGCCAGCAGAGGGATCCCAGAGCTGGGGACACAAAGGTGGCACTGCCACCCTTCCCCCTGCCCTCCTCCCCTCAGCATGGCCACAGAGCAGCCAAGTGTCCTCACCCACCCTTCCAACCCCCAGGGGACAGATTTTAAGGAGCTCATGCAGTGTCACCCTGCCATGGGCCTTGGGCACTGCCAGGGACCCAGGAGCAGCCCCAGCTCTGTGGGCACCCTGAGCTCTGAGTGTCCTGCTCCTGCTCTCAGGGTGATCATGAGGTTTAAGGTCCCAGAATCCTTTCCCTGGGTCAGGCTAAAAGGGATCCCTGGAGAATTTTGCCTTCTGGGATCTGTGCACGTCCTGCACACATCCTGCCCTGTGCCAGGAGCCTGCCCAGGGCTTTTTGCTCTTCTGTTATTTCAGGCACTGGCTTTGGATTAAATGCTTGTGATATGAGCCCTGAGTTGTGCTGTGATCCTGGGGAGGGGATGTTCCATAAATCCAGAGGCTGTTCCACAGACCCTGAGGATGTTCTATAAATCCAGAGGCTGTTCCACAGATCCTGAGGTTGTTCCACAGATCCTGAGGATGTTCTATGAATCCAGAGGATATTCCACAGACCCTGAGGATGTTCTATAAATCCAGAGGCTGTTCCACAGATCCTGAGGTTGTTCCACAGATCCTGAGGATGTTCTATGAATCCAGAGGATATTCCACAGACCCTGAGGATGTTCTATAAATCCAGAGGCTGTTCCACAGATCCTGAGGAGGGGATGTTGCACAGCCCTTCTACACAGCCATGGATTCCCCAGGTCTCTGTTGCTGCCAGGGTCAGGCACACACACAGATCCTCTCCCCATGGAAGTCCTGTGGACAAGGGAATGTTTCCCTGTCAGATAAATCTTCAGCAGGTTTGGAATATCCTTACCCAGAGCTAGCCAGAAGAAAGAATTTCTGTGGATTTCTATGAACACAGAAAATTCTGAAAAAGCCAGAAAATCCACAGAAAACGCTGCTCTCCAGAAGCAGCCTTTCATCCAGACATCAGAAATCCAAGCTCTCCCTGTGTCCAGCTTGAGCAGGTGAATTTGTGCCTCATGCAGCTCCAGCTTCCATCACCCTCTAAGGAGGTGCTGGGGTTATTTTTAGAAGGAATCTATAAAACCAACCCTCCAAAGCAGCCACCAGCAGACAGAATGGAGCTGGCAGCCACTGAGGCCGTGCTGCTACTTGGTTACACCCACGGTGCCCATAAATCTTGCTCCACTCCCGGCCCTTCCCTGACGCCTCCCAGCTGTTCCCCAGGATCCTTTTTTGGGTACTTTTCCCCAAAGGCACATGTGGTTCTTTGTTCAGAACTTTCTGGTGATTAAATTGACCATTCAGTCCTGGTAAGTGAAAACAAAGCCTGCAGGCAGCTCAGTGCACAGGAAACAGCTGGGAGAGGATGCTGGAAGGGATTTCCATAAAAGCCAATGATTCATGGAAATGTTCAGTGAGCGGGGTCAGCCCCGGGCTCCTCCGACGGAGCTGATTCCAGAGCCCCGCCCGGCATTCCCAAATTCCCAGTGCCCACCCGAGGGAACTGCCAAAATTCAGCCTGGGGGATGCTACATCCCCAATTTCTGCTGCCCTGGATGTGGGGAAAGGGACGTCAGGAGAGGACAATGCCTGTGTTAGAGGGGTGGGGGGACAGCACACAGGGAATGGCTCCACATGGAGAGAGGGCAGGGCTGGATGGGATTTTGGGCAGGAATTGTTCCCTGGCAGGGTGGGCAGGGCTGGCACAGGGTGCCCAGAGCAGCTGTGGCTGCCCCTGGATCCCTGGCAGTGCCCAAGGCCGGGTTGGACATTGGGGCTGGGACAGTGGGAGGTGTCCCTGCCATGGCAGGGGTGGCACTGGAGGAGCTTTAAGGTCCTTCCAACACAGCCCAGTCTGTGATGATGATGATGATGGTGATGATGATGATGGTGATGGTGATTTGGCCAGGACAGAGTGTGACTCTCCAGCAGGAAGAAGAACCTGCTGCATTCCGTGGCTCTCCAGGCTCCTTCCCTCTGTGCCCACCAGATTTCTTCCAGGACTCTTCCCCTGGAGTTCAAAGCAGGTACTGCCAGCTGGGCATCACCCCCTGGAATGGTGCCAGGCCAAACCAAACCAAACCAAACCAAACCACTTTCCACGTCCCATAAACAGGAGATGGAAAATCCCCTTTGGGGCACTCGGTTCAGCTGCCCCTGCAGCTCAGGGCTGCTCCTGACAGGACATTTTCCATGGATTTTACCCACACACTTTGAATGACTCAAGCACAGGGGCTCCACCAGTGCCCAGGGATCCTCCCTGGCATTTTCCTCTCTCTCTCACACTGAGACTTTCCTTCCCTTTCCCAGCTGCCAGCCCTTCCCTCCCTACTGGACCCCCTGGGTTATTCCTCCCTTTCTTTCCCTGACATTTCTCACCCTGTGCTCATTCTGTGCCTGAGTTCTGCTGATCTCAGCCACATCCCACTGCAGGGAACTGGGAAAAGGGCCTGGAAAAGTGGGAAAGTGACCTCAGGGACACCCTGGGCAATCCCCCCTCAGTGGAAGGGTCTCCATCCCCCTGGTGCAGAGCCTGGAGGGCCAAGGAGAACAATCCATGGGGGCTGGGAATGGCTCCCAGGACTGTGCCAGATGCTCCACACAAATGATATTACAATGTTAAAATCCCCTCAACATTAATCTCAGGCAGTGCCCCTTTTATTATCCCACCCAAATCAATTCTGGGAGGATGAAACCCCTGGATTAGTGTTTCACACCATGACTGTTTGGGGTTTGTTCTTCCTTCAGCAGCACCCTCCCAACCACCTGTAACCACCAAGGACAAAATCCAACATTGAATTTTCATGATGGAAATAAGGGCCTGATTTAAATAACTAAAAATGCAGCGGTGGGGGGTTGCCTGAGAAAAGAAATTTCCCCAATTTCATTATCCTGCTCTTATTTTAGTATTGAAAATGCACAGTACAAAGCAAGGCAGTCAGGTTTTTATTCTGATTAATACATTTTAATGATCTGTGGCATCAGTTTCTATTTCCATGCACTTTTAACACTGCTTAGGAACTAAGATGCTTTTTCCTGCAGTCCAATTTCTTTTTCTTTTGTAGAAAAACTCCATCTGCAAGGCACAGTCGGGATCCCAGATCCTACACACACCTCAAAGCAAGGTCTAGTGATTATCCCAGCTTTGGTTTGTGATATCCCAGTGGGAATGAAGTGATGTCCATGGCAAGCTGAGCATGGCCAGTGCTGGAGGAGCAGCAGGACCACACAGGGGCTGGACTCCCCATCCTGGCTCCGGAGAACATTTTGGGCAACTTCAGGTGGGAAAAGGATGAGCCACACCGAGGCAGTGACTGAGATTCTGTGGTTTCCTCTTGTCCCTTGTCACCTGGGAGCAGGTGTGGATCCCCAAGCCCCTCCCTGCTGGCAGGGTCACTAAGGAGGGGTTTGGCCACGCCGTGGGTGGTGCCTGGGGCTCACACAGAGCATCGCCCCCATCCCACGAGCCCCTTTTCCCTGCGGGCCACCGGGGATGGATTGATCCTTCCTGGGAAGGCTCAGGGCTGTGGGAGCTCCCTCCAGAGCAGGCAGCACCCCCAGCTCTGCCAGGGGCAAACTGGAGCTTTTCCAGCAGGGAAGGACGAGACAGCCCAGGCCAGGGGAGGTTTTCTCCAAGGGAAGGGCTGGAACGCTGCCCACAGGCAGGACCCACAGGGACAGGTTTGTTCCAAGCCTGGAGCTTTGTTTGGCTTTGCCTCGTGCCACGAGTCCTGGAGTGCAAGGTCCCTGACACCATTCCACAAGAACTTCCTGCAGGAAGTTTGATTTCCTAAAATTCCAGGGCTGTAATGAGGTGCTGCTGCCTTTCATCCCACCATGGAAAACAGTTGGTAAACTTTCCTTGACATGGTGAGATTCACTAAATTGTTTTCAAAGCCAGTAAAAAAGGGTCCCTGACATTTCCATATTTTGTTTATTGCTTAGCAGCAGGAGCTCCGGGTTCTGGGAGGGAGGGGGAGAAGGGAAATATTTGTTTTGGACTTGGTTTGGATCCAGGACCTGGCCACTCCCTCATGCCAGAACCATGATCCTGTTATTTTACGTGCTGTTCCTCCCTGGCCACACTCCCCTTGTACTCCAGCTGCTGCTCCAGGACAAACAGGGGGACAAGAGCCCAGATTTGAAATGATGGAATCATGGAATCACAGACTGCTTATGGCTGGAAGGGACCTCAAAGCTCACCCAGTTCCACCTTCCCTGTCCAAGCCCCAGGGATCCAAACCCTGGATCCATCCATCCATCCATGCTGGATCCTGTGATGCTGGGCCATTATTCCTGCCCAGGGCCAGGGCACTGGAACAGGATGAACTTTAAGGTCCCTTCCAACCCAAACCTTCTGGGATCCAGGGATTCTCTGATTTCAATCCCACTCCTTGAAGATGTGCTGCTCTTTGTGCTCCTCTCGGAGAGACTTTTTACTTTTCTCCTCTTGAAACGCACGCAGCCATTTAATTACACCATGAATAAATTAACGGACAAAGTTATTGCATCAAAAATAAATAAAAATTCAACTGGATTTGCAATTGTAGGAACTGGATGAGCTGGGGTTCCTTTGGAGGCTGGAATGGAGCTGTCAGAGCTGGCTCGGCCGGAGCCTCATCCCGGCGGGGCCGCGGCTGCGGGGCTCGCCCGGCGGGGCCGCCCTTGCCTTGGCCGGGATGGCATCGAGGGACCCGGTGCTGCTGCTGCCACCTCCGTGCCGGCCCGAGCCGGGGCCCCGGGCAGCCCTGGCCGTCCCCAGGTGTCCGGACAGGCGGAGATCGCCGGGGGGCAGCGAGCGGGGCGAGGCCGGCAGGGTCCCACTGAGCCTCCGCAGCTCCAGCACCTGATCCCGGGCACGGCCCAGAGCCGCCGTCAGCTCGAAACGCT